TTTTTTTGTTTGGAGCTGGGCTTTCTCCCCACTGTGTTTGTGCCTTTCAGTTAATTCTCTCTAGCCAGTGAATTGGAGCACTCATATGAATCCCTTCATTTGTTTCCCTATCTTCAGGAAATAGCTGTCCTATGCTGCTTTTTTGCTCAGTATCTCCAAACCATTGTTCCTTTATACTTTGTTGTCTTTCCTACTTTATTAAAGGCAGGAGGGTAAATCTGGTCTTCATTGTTTCATCATGTCCAGAAACAGAAGAGGTTTCTCTTATAATTCAGCTTTTAAAAAATTTATCATTTTGCTTATTATTTCTTAAGTTTCCTAAAAATGAAAAATTGTTTTTATGACTTGGGGAAATACAAATTATTTTTAATGTAAGAAAATGTGGAAGGAACAGCATCTTGGACATTAGTGTCAGCAGCATAGTATCAGTGTTATTATAACTTATAAGCAGGAAATTACAGATCCTATTTAGAAAATATCATTTAAAAAAGTCACTGTTAGTTTTGAATGTGCCAGTCTTGTTTAACTTCTTAAAAAAATGTTTGTTAACTGGGGGATTTTCTGATTTTAGGCGATTATGGAAAGACGTGACAGATTCTCTGAGGGAATCTGAAATTGATAAGGCTACAGAGCATAAACGTACCCTGGAAGAGCGTCAGAGGACTGAAGAAAGGCATCGTACTGAAACGGGCACACCCTGGAAAACGAAATATTTTATTAAAGAGGTATGTCCTATATTTCTTCAGACTAAAATTCATTACCTACTCAGTGAGAACTTTAGCTTATTAGGCTTTCTTGAATTATCATTTATACATCTTTATTTCTAAAAATAGTACAGCATAGCCATGAGCCTTTTCAGGAGCTTTTCACGGTTTATCAAAGTGAAATAGCTTACCAGTAGTTCAGATGAAGTAGATTTGGGATTTAAACTGGCCACAAAGAAAAATGGTAACATAATCTTCAGTCACAATAATAGAATATGTAATTTTCATTTTATTGTGTTCTTACCATACTGAAACTGTGTTCACTTCCAGAGACCACATTTTAAAAGGGTCATGAGAAACTTTGCTGGCTATATAAAGGATAGTGAAATGGCTAGAATGTGTTACATTTAAGGAAAAAAGAATGAAAGGGTTACGTTTAGCCTGGAAAACAGAAAATTGGGGCCATTGATTATAACCTTCTTCACTTATATGTAGGCTGATAACGGACATTTTTTTAAATCAGTTAGAATAGCAGACTTGAGCTAGGTGCAAACTACCAGGAAGCTGATTGTGAGCTTAACATAAGAAGGAATTGTATAACAATAAAAAATAACCAATAATAATGAGAGTACATTTTATAATAATGTATTCCCCATTGCTATACCTGTATAAGAGACCATGGCTTATGTAGAAGTGTTTGATGCACTGATTTTTCATCTGAACTAAATAATTTCTGAAATATTTTCTAAATTTAAAGATTTTTGTTTTGTTTTATATATGATTTTCTGGTAGAAGTCAGAGTAAGATGAATAATAAACCAGTGCTGATACCAAGAAAAGTTTTCTTGTCTCTAGCCAAGTCTAAGGGAACCTGTTGAATTTTTTTTTTTGGTTCTTATGCCCTTTTTTTTAAATTTATGAAAGTATAATTGATATACAATCTTATGGTGGTTTCATATAAACAACAGTGGTTTCAACATTCACCCATAATATCAAGAAGCCTGTTGAATTTTAATATTGGTCCATCAGGAGGGAATCTGGAAAAAGTAGTTTGAATGTTATTTTAGCAAACCGATTACCCTTAAAAACCCATAGTTTATTATGTACCTTCATTACTTTCATTTTCAAACCTTTGGTATCTAAAATGAATACCAGCTATTTTCATGGATAGGAATAATAAAGGGAAAGTAGTTTATATCTCTATTCTTTTATACGACAAAAATAAAACTTTGTAATTACTATTTAAAATTATAGTCTGGTAACCTTGGTTTTTTCATTTCAAGAACAGATATTCCAGGAGAAGATTCTAAAGAGGAGAATTTGTGAGGGAGGACCTCTGTAAATCGGTGAAAACAAACTCTGGGGGCTGAAAGCAGGAAGCTACAGTGGGTGAAAGATGCAGTCAGTGGGATTTTAAACAATAGGCACCCTGATTCTTGCTACTTCTCATTTATTCTTTATTTGATGGCTATTATTAAGAGCCTACCACTTAATGTTTTACTTTACTCTGTGATGTCGGATAAACTGATGCAAAAAGGTAGCAAGATATAGCAATTATCCAATAAAATAGTGGGGTTTTGTTCAGTCTGTATGGCCTCAAGTAGCTACCTGGTGGAATAGTAGGTTGGAGATGCTGGCTCAGATTTGGGCTCCTTTGGGTGTTAAGATGTAAACATGGTTTTCTAAATGGTGTGCCGTGGCACAGTGGTACAGCAGATGGGTTAGATTTGTATTATGATAGTAATTCCCGAAGAGCATGGGGCAACCAGGTCACATCCTGAGTGTGATTGGGCCATGAGGAGTGCCGTCACATGTAAGAAGCATGGCAAAGTACAGATGAGGCTGATGAGGCTGGCAGCCAGCCGAGCTGGTTCATAACAAATTTGAAACTATTGCCATTGTGTATGGCTCTTTACTAAGAAGAATCACATGTTATTGAGAAGTCAGTTTTGTCTCCTGTGTAGTATAAACAGAGTGCTAGGCATATAGTAGATGTTCCTTAAGTATTGTCATGAGTAACAAGGGCTTTTTTGCTTGTTTGATACTTCCATTATTGTTCCCAGAAAGACTGTAGACCAGTTAAGAGTTGATGTTATGTAGATGGAGGAGTAAAGTAAAGAATAGAATACTTGGTGTAAAAAGAGGAGGTAAAGTAACTTGAGAAAGTACAAATGAACTTTAAGCATTTCTAGTATCATTTAATCATACCTACCTTCTTTTCCTGACTGTTTCTCACTGACATGTAATCTGTTAGATCTTCCATTTCCTTCCTTGTACTATTATACATGTCCACCAGGATCTATTGGTTGTATCCTTCTTAAGTGAATGTTTACAATTTCTTAACTTGTCTGTAAGTGCCAGAAGGAGGCTTTGATGGTATGGTGGACCATATTAAAGTCAGATGTGCTAAGTTTGAGTCCCAGCTCTTATCTTGGGTAGTTCATTTACCACTTCTAACCTCAGTTTCCTTATCCATAAAATGTAGGAAAACAAACAGAAGGTGCAGTGAAAAGAACTCTGACCCCACCTGGGTGAAGTTGGCAACTCATTTCACTTCTCGGAGCCTCAGTTCCTTCATCTGTAAAATAAGATGCTCAGAAGGCATGTCTTAACTTCTAAACTTAGCATTCTGTAGTGTGGTTAGATGACATCTTTTTCAAAGAGCCATACTACTCGTGTTGAGAATTATCAACCAGATAATTTAATATAAACAGCCTAATGGTTGCTGTTATTAAAAAGAAATTATTCTTACAATTACTAAAAACAACAAGGAAGACTATTCAAGACTATTGCAATGGAGAAGAGGGATTGAACTCAATTTTGAATACAGGGACAGTGGGAATTTAAAGCCACTGGGGCAAGGTGAGGGAATGTGCGGGAAAGAGGATCTTGGTTAGGTATCAAGGATTGGGGAGGGGAGAGAAGAACTTGATTAGATACCAGGGGTGGGAGAAGAGGAGTTTGATTGTAAATCAAGGATGAGGGGATTCTTGATACACTGGTTGCTTTATGAGGATTATTTGCTAACACTGGTCTCAGTCAAGAAGGGAACTTGAAGGAGTCTGATTAAAGTTTGATCAAGGAGAGAATAAGTCCTGTCACTATAAGCCAAAGAGTTGCCTGGCCTTAAGTAATTTTTGGAACAAGGTAGGGTAAATATATTTAAACACATTTTGATACAAATAAATTGAAAGAGATATAGGCCTTACAGGCAGATGTTCAAATCTGATTTACCTTGCCTAGTCCCATAAACACTGACTCCTGTCTTAGCTACTCTGATCTCAGCTGTGCCAGCCACCCACCCCAGTATGCTCCTTCATGCATTTGCTGCAGCTCTTTTTTCCTCACTTGGTCCTCTGTCTTTAGTTCACTGACACTAACTAATCTCCTTGCAGTATCCTTTTATTCACAGAAGCCAGGGAAAACTAATAGAGGTAAGGTCAGGAAAGAACTAGAACACAGTATTCAGATACTAGAGATGCCAATTGAGGTGGAGAAAACAGCTAGTACTCATATGACCATTTCTTTGTGCTCTGCCTGCTGCCTTTCACACCGTGGGTGAGGCTCTGTCGGCATCATCTTGGCAAGATTGACAGAAAAGCTTCTATCTGCAAAATGAAATATTCATGGGGCATCAAGTAGGTACCCCCAGACCAGAACTTCTTAGGTATCCGTAGCTAGACCATAGGCACTGTTCGGTGTCTTAAGCACAGAGATTTTCTTTTCTTCACAGAAGTTCTTGTGTTGAATGTGAGAGTAGAATTCAATTTCAGTGAAGGCATCATTTCTAATTTTGGTTGCTGAATCTGAAAATATTAGAGGAATATTTTTTTAATTGATTTTTCTACTTGTTTCAGGGAGACGGCTGGGTTTATCACAAACCCCTTTGGAAAATAATTCCAACAACACAACCAGCAGAGTGACACACACTATCTGAGACTTGACCAAATGAAATTCTTTTCTGTTTACCCTAAATCCTCCCAGAATGGAATCATTGCACTGAGTGACCTGCTTCCTGATTGCACAGACTGAGACTAGCTCAGCATGATGTACCTGGTAGCGCACTGCAGGACTGCGGCAAGACCAAAGTGTTGGAGAAGCACGATGGCCCTCTCACCAACATGTTCCTGTGATGTGAGCAATATCATAGAACTTTTCACCTGAATTCTTAGGTGATTAATCTTTCATCCAGTTCCTGTTCCTAAAGCTAAGTTTGAATCCCCTATTTTCTCGTGGGGGCAGCAGAGAAACACACCAGTGAGAACTCAGTGCTTTTGATTTCTTTATAGTGAGAAGTGAAGTCTCTTCCCGCGTCTGTGCTCTGCTTTCTGTCAGTAACTGAAGTATTCGCTACTCTTAAAAGCAAACCAAGAGGAGGAGGAAGATGATCCAGAAGTGGATTCAGCCATTGTGCCTGAAATCAGTGTTAAAAAAATCAGATTGTAGTAACAAGTCATTCTGTTCTTCAGAGAGACTGTGCCTGTGTCTGAGGAACTTACATTATCCACCTCTGTTGGAACTGTCTTTTAAAAAGTATATTTATAAATTGATTAGAATTATAACCATGGAGAATTTTTTCTTCTGATCATTTTAATATACTTGAAAACAACATTGACTTGAAAAATTTCAGAACATTTTTCAGCACCTAGTTTTATTAAATATTACACTTGAGAGACAATTTTTTTAAATATGTTCATGTCAATATGATGAGATTTTGGCCTTTCTCAAGAACTGAGGCATTAAAAAACATAAGCAAATATTAAAAAATAAAACTGTTATTTTCCCTTACTCTTTTTTTTCACTTGTAGGTTAATATCCAGTATTATGTGCTATCCCTTGGATAAGTTATATTTTATCTTACCTCTGTTCACTCAAAATGTAAAACAACTATTCGTATTTGTCAGTCATTCAAAAGTTATATATATATGAGTGCACGTACCGTATGGTTTTTTATTTTCTTTTCAAGGAAACTGAAATGCTGAAGAAAGAGTATGAAATAAAAAGATATTGGGAAGTTGTATTCAGGTACAAATCTTTTTTTTAAAATAAGTATTTTATTGAATTTGAAGAATTGCTGGCATTTAAAAGAATAGTGTTA